AAAAGTCTGACTTTCATTTATACATTTTCATAGAAATTTTATTTATTATTACTATTATTATTCAAGTTATTTCTGTGACCATTGTGGGGTTCTCTTTCATTAATCGAGGGGTACCAACAATTTTGTTCACGTGTAAAACAGAAAACCATCCAACTGAGATTAGAACTCATTAAAATAGTTTTCTCTGCTTTTGGAGAACTACATAAGCTCACGTTGTGGGAACCAAGAATCCCTACGAGTTGGTAGTGTTTGTGGCTGTTGGGGTGGGTGTCACTGAAGAGTTGAGTAAAATGTAATTATTACTGGACACATTTAAAGGGTGCTTTTGGCTATAATGCCAGTTCCTAATCACAGCACTGCTGTAGCTCCTTGGATTAATTTGGGGGGGAAAATAATAAATTTCTAATAGCACAAATTTCTGTGTGTTCACAGAGTCCCTCCCAACATTTTGCACATACACACATTGATCTGTTTTATCTTTTTTGTGGCAGTGCTGGTGTCCAAGTGCTTGTCAGTGTGACTCAGCACTGTGATCATGGACACAGTGGGATGAAACAGTTTGTGGTTGTGGTTGGAGAAAAGATGGGAGCTGCAAGGATTTCAGCCCAACCCCCTAAACACAACAGACAGAATGAAACATTTAACAAGTTTAAGTTATCTGTAAGCGCAGGTAACGGCTTGGTTTTCCCTCATTTAAATGTCTGTTAAAGTTAATTCTGATGGTCTTTGAGGCTCTTAAGAAGTTTAAATTAACATTAAAGCTTTTCAACTAGAAAATACTGTCACTCACACAAGAACGGGATTCTCGTTTCTGTACTTAACGGCACAGTTGTCAGAAAAGTACCCAACGATGTTTCTTCGGGTAATTACTGTGGCYCATAATCCTCAATTAAGTGAACATAACTGTAGTTTTAATAACTGTACGGTAAAGGCAAGCAGAAGCAGACTTCCTGTAGATAAGCTCAGGCTGCTCTGGTTTCACAGAGGTCAGAAAGTTTGTTTCAAGTTTCAGCTGGCTGAAATATTTCTGCGAGGAGTTTTCTTCTCCTTTTGCCTGCAGGTTTTCTCTTGCACACACACAAAAACAACAACATCAAGGTTATCCTTGGATTCTAAAGGTGTATATGTTTGTTTCTAATGGGTACATTTTGTCAGCAGGGGAGCAGCACTGTTCTTGCAATGGGACTGACAGCAAGGTACAAAAATATACCAATTTTCAAGGTACTAGTGCTTGTAGCTTATTTAATGCAGCAGGYGCAGCAAAGAATAGTGACGTCCTCTTTAAAGGACCATTCCTGCACCTTGGTTTCTTACTTTGCTGTGGGGGGGAAACTGTGACAAAGATCTTTACATTATAATTTATAATTATTTGTGGTTAAGCAAGACATCCTGGAAACATGTAACAGGAAGAAGAAAATATACAGCAGCAGATGGCTGATGATGCCTTCACTGCCACGGGAAACCAGTTGGAAAAATTGATGCGATGGAAACCGAGTTCATCTGGAGTAACGTTACGTGTATTGCCATGACTTAGAGGAAAAGTCTTTAAAACATGAGTGAGTCAGACACCCGCTGGGCACCCAGGGATCATGACAGTATAGGAGAGGTTAAGGCAAATGGAAGGGAAAAGCTGATGACCAGATGTGAAGCCTGAAGCCTCAAACGTTACAAAGCGTTTATTCAATCTGCTGCTGAGGACATTTTTTTAACACAGACGACTGTCTTAATCAGCTGATTAAAAAATCTAAATGCTTATTGTAATTAACTGATGTGAGAAGAAAGGTGATGGACTAATTCCTAAATTTTAGCTTGCTAAATGTGCCACAGGTCCATTAAAGCCTGAGTGAAAAGACAAACTGAGCGCCTGAATCTTGTTATAAAAAGCAGAGGAGATGTTAGCAGTGAGTTGTGCTGTCTGTTGGACAAGAGAGCGGGGTAAAAAAAAATGTCTACGCTCCTCTCGGCTTCTAAAAGAAACAACAGGGGACAAACACTAATGACAGCTGTAGCTCCTGCCTGCTGTGATGACACATGCAAAGATGCGCTCAGTGTTCCCATACAACACAAGTTATCACAAAGAAATTCTCCTATTGTCACACTGCAGCTCCTGGCTCAGTCTATTCTGGATCAAATCGCTGCTCGCTCGCTCGCTCGCTCGCTCGCTCGCTCGTCTCTCAGACGCGCTGCCTCATATAGCATCAGTTGGCGCTTATGCGTCACCCTCAGGCTGGGCAAGGCTAAGGCTTGCCAACTCACAAAGACTCACAGACGAGCGGAGAGAAAATGAAAATTTTAGTGATTATGTGGTGGAAGGGATGTGCATGTGGCCAGCAGAGAGGAGTTGGGTTTCAGGAGTACGGGGGGGGGGGGGGGGGGGGGGGGGGGGGGGGGGGGGGGGGGGGGGGGGGGGGGGGGGGGGGGTGGACTGCAGGCAGCAGCTGAGCTAACTTGACTGGTTGACTGACTGCTGGACGGGCTGAGTGAAGAGCCCCGAGGCGATAGATGAAAGCCCTTCCACTAAAGGTCATGTACACGTCCCACAGGAGCTTTAATYGTGAAATACAACCGGACAAATTGGTGTTGATGCAGCATGAAAAGGTTGTGACACAACTGATCTGTGTGCAGTGTAATAATTCCACCCAATACACAATAATAACACAATAATGAGCAATAGTTTGTCTAAACTTCCCTCAGGATTAAAGTAAAGTACACACAACTGCTATTAGCGTCAGCTAATTAGCATCAACTTGAGTTATCTTAGGAACCAAAACTCACTGTTGGACAAGGTGAAGTTGTTAAAAAAGCCAACCAGTTGGGGTTGGGCAAAATCATACTGTGTGTGATTAATCATCAGAAAAATTGAATAGATTTTTTTTTGAAGATTAATACAATTAATGGCAGCAGGCAGACTGACTGGAGATTCCCCCGGTCAGTCCGCTCGGTGCTCCTCTCCACTTCAAATATGACCAACATTTTAAAAAAAGTTCTCAAAGTTATTTATCATACCMCTGGTTTTACTTGGCCTATCAACACAATTTAAAAATTGATGTACAGCTTGAAGTCTGTACTTTTTACACAYTTTGACACAGATTTTTTTACAGAGAGCAAATCTTTCCCATAGAGTAATTTAAATTGGTCATGTGACTAGGACATGCAAGCYTCCAAGGAATTAATGGTCATGTAAATCGTTATAGACTAAATAAATATCACAATTAATCGTGATTATTCTTGCCAATCTCGTCCAACCCTACAACCAGGTTAAACATCATTTCACAAGTTATTACCATCTAACTTTTACTTATCACATCATAAAGCAGCGGTCCAGTCAGGACTTCTGGCTTTAAATGGTAAACTGTGAAGAACGACACAATCCATCCACTGGGTCAAACTCTCTCACTCAATATTTGGTCAAACCAACTTAACCTATGACCCAACAMCTTTAACCCAGCAACGGAGTTGTAAAAATAACTGCAGTTTTTCAGATCATTGAGTAGTCTGTTAAAGAAGAAAGAAAGATATACAAAACGATCTCTTTGTTAAACTCAGTATAGAAATGTAATTATTTATTCTAACATACAAGCTCCATTTTATTTTAAACATCTCATGGTCCATATTTCCTAATAGAGCTCTTTGCTCTCAAACTGCAGGTTTACTTGTGGTTCCTATAGAGTTCCAGTTCAGACTCCTCTCTTGTGGAGCTAATTTCCAGTTCTTGTCTGTGAGGCTGACACTCTGTCTATTTTTAAGAGGAACCTGAAGACTTTCCTTTTTAGAAATACTACAGTAAGATTTGGGTTTCTTGAGCTATCCTTTAGTTATGCTGCTYTAGGCTTTGACAACTATTTGGAATTATTGCTGCCATTTTTTTKTTTGTGTTTCCTATAGAAACTCCACCTGGACCATTCCTTTGTGTCTTTCCTGTCCTAACCTCAGCCAGTCGGATGGCCACACATACTGAGCCTGTTTTCTTTTTTACTTTTTTTTTATTCTATTAAAAGCAAGTTGTTTCTTTCCAGTGTTGATGTGGGATTAGAAAGTGAAGATTCAACACAACCTGCTGGCTTCTCACATAGACAGCTTTCACTAACTGGCATTCGGACTTTCTATACTGCACTTAGATGACAGTTATAGGGCTTTGTATAAATAAGCTGAACTGAATGAAACTAAAGAAAAGCTGAGATTTTACTTTAATATTTTGTTCGAAAATAATCTAATTGATACAAAAAAAATAAAATAAATACCTCACATACAACCACTAAATTGCATGACTGTGCAGTGTGGAGATCCCTGCAGGTGGTGTRCCACCACTTGAATTAAGTGAGTCTGTAGAGGCTGACGGTCAGCAGAGTCGCCGACACATGAATGGCTGGCACTCTCATGGAGAAAATAAATAAAATGCTGTAATTGTGCCCAGCTTCTTTAGGACAGAAGAGCTCAGTTTTCAAAAGGACATCAGGAGGATCAGGAGAACGAACTTCAGTCAGAGATCAATTTTTTTTTTACTGACAGCTGGAGAATGTTTATTATAAAAGGTCTGCTTTTATTTCATCTTCATATTTTATTCTTGTGAACGCATCAAAAATAAATAAATAAACACTGCAAATAAGGTTTCAGTTTGACACGAGCTGCTGAGCTGCACAGAAACTGTTGACTTCAAACACCAAACAGACCTTGACAGGTACAGGCTATCCAAGCCCGGACAAGTGGCATCATCACAGCTGCTACCTTGTGAGAGGATTTGCCCTCCCCTGATCTGCCCCGGACTGAACTGCAGCTTTCACATAGAATAAAATAAACCTGAATCGAAATGCGTTCACTGAATCCCAGTGGATTCGAACAGGACTGGCTTCAGACCAGCTGCTGCTGGTTTCCTTGCAGAGAAGCCTCCACTCAACATCACGCATTCATCCAGAGGCCCTGCCGAGCGTCTGTGAGCCGCTCCATCCCCGGTGAGATGCCTCTGTTTTCGGTCAGGATGTGATGCAGGGGGAAGGTCTTACCGGCTGCTGTATGTGGCGAGACGTCCCCCTCCCCGGCGGAGGGAGATGCTGCCCCGGCTGCTGCTGGACTCCTCCGCGCGGAAAATAGTCGCTGCCGGCGGCTTTGTTGTTGCCCGCGACCCGGTCCCTCTTCTCCCGCATGCTGCTGCTGCCGCCGCCGCCCGCCTTCTCCCGCTCCTCGGCCGAGTCGAGGCTGCTGAAGTTCCACACGATCAGGGTCTGGACCAGCAGCACCGTGAGGGCTGCGATCAGGGCGGACCGCGAGCGGCGGGCCAGCCTGCGAGCGCACGAGCCGCCGACCACCATCTTCACACCGGGCTGCACGGAGCTGGAGGAGCGACTGGAGCTCTCTCTCTCTCTCTGCGCAGCTCCACGGCGGCAGAGAGTGGAAGTGGAGAGGAGGGAGGAGGCAAAGGAGGAGGAGGAGGGAGGCTGAGCTTTGTGCTGGCGGAGGCGAGGAGGAGCGACGGCACGGAGGAGAGGCAGGGGTCCACCGTGTGGTGAGAGTCCACAAGATGCGCGTGACGCTCCGGGGCAGATCCTCTCTGCGTGAGAGAAATGACTGTCTGCACTTTAATATCTCACATGAGGAATCATCGGGACAATCAGCAAATAGGCTTGGTAATTGCAAATGTGGGAGATTTTCACTGTCATTATTGGAAAAATAGCGGAATCATTGAGCCTTCAGGGACATTTAACTGATGTCAACAGGGGCGTTGACACTGAGGGTCCCCATCATGGGGCCTCTTATTATAGCCGGTGGCAATTTAACTAAATTACATTTTTAGTGAACTTTCTGCTGCTCTGAATTTAGCAAAAGTATTTTTTTCTTTTTCAGTTAAGAAAATCAAATAAATCACTAAAGCTCAAATAGTTAAATTTCATTGAACGCATTAAAACGTTTCACAGTAATGACCTACAACTGATTGTATAAAACGTGTGTGTGTGTGTGTGTGTGTGTGTGTGTGTGTGTGTGTGTGTGTTTGTTGTAAAATGCACTAAATGTATTTTTTCAGTCAAGCAATCCACTTACAATTCTCTTCTTTACTCCAAAGAACACAAAGTATTTGTTGCAGGGTTTCATTTATTTATTGACTGAGATATTCCATTTACATAAAATATCAAACTTTTTTCATTGTACTTTGATAAATTGTTTTTGCCCAGAAAAAAAAAACAAGTCTACAGGGAAATTATAAACTTGAAGAATATTGAAACCAGTTAGTTTCTTGTTATAATTGTAGTGGGAAAAATATAATGATCCAAACTTTCTAGAGAAAGTTTTGACTTTGCATTCATCTATTTTTCTACTCTGACTTGTTTTCCAGCTCAAGTAAAATATTTCATAGACAGCTTTATATTATGTGGCCTAAGAATATGGACCATGATAAAACATACAAAGATTTTTTTTAAATGTGTTACCTTGACTTATCACGTTTTATACTTATAAAAATGATTTAAAAAACAGATGGACTGAAGGGTTTTGATAATATGTGAAATACATAATTTAGAAACAACTCAAAACTCACAGCTGTTCCTTATTTTTTAATTTTTTTAATTTGGTTGGTTTTTCATGCCAGTGAGCTACAGACCTGAGTCTTGACTTCACTCGTCCTTTTCCTCCTGCCTGAAGCCGTTTATGGTTCTCAGGTTTGGCAATCACAAAAAGAAAGTCACAATATCTCCTCCAGCAGGCCCTTTTTATACACAGCAGGCATTTTGACTTGACATGGTAGCAAAAGCACAGGTGTTGCTAAAAACATTACCTATGGCTCAGTTCTACTCGAGCGTCCCAGTAAGTCACAACAATAAGCCAGCATGAACAGCCAGCAGAGGATCACAGTGAAAAGCTGTCATTTTATGCCTCTAGAAGGCAAGAATACATGTAATCTGAACATTTCTCAGCCGAAAGAGACATGRGTGACTCCCACTTCATCACTAAGTGGGGCTTGAATGCAGGTGGGTTTGAAAGGCTGCTTTTAAAAAAAAAACAAAATATAAACCGGGGATCCCGACAGAGTATTTCCCTAATCAATCAAACTGTGGGAATAAATAATAATAAAAAACAATTATG